CGATCGCGACCGGAACAACTGGGAGAAGTGGGATGGGAGGATGACAGGGCAGGAGGGAGCGAGGGGAGGCAGGGGGCGCCGACAGCTACAGCTTCTGCAGCAGCAGCAGCAGCAGCAGCAGCAGCAGCAGCAGCAGCAGCAAGGGTTGAGGGCTTGTCAGGGCCAGTGCCTGCTTGGAGGAGAGAAGTGGACGTGGAGTATCTCTTCATGCCTCCTATGGGTCGCGTGCCTGACGCTCAGCCGGCTGCTCGGGCTCAGCGCCGGGGCATCATCGGGGCCTGCGTCACTACTGGCCGGGCCTGCCAGCTCTGCTCCACCAACCGGAGGTGTCGGTGGGCCGGGCAAGGCAGGCCCGGGCACATCTGAGTATCAGGTACTTTGACTGCCTCCGCCGGCTGCTCGGCTCTTCGGTCAGCCCAGCTGCCCTCCCAGGCCGAGTCCGGGCCTCTAGGTATCCCCGGTCATCCAGTGCGATCGTCTTCAGCCCGTCACGGCCCATCGGGCCCCGGGTTCATGTAGTGGTTTTTAACCCCGGTAGACTGAGATCCGGGGCCTGAAGTGGGGAGCCTGGACGCCTCTGAGCTACAAATGTACTAAGAACCAGGTTGACGTAGAGAATAAACAGATATTGCACAAACTCATCATGACACAACCACGAGACAAACAACCAGCAGCTTCTCACACCTCTGTCCTCCTCTCCTCTCTCTCCCCCCCCATCGCATTGCAGTCGCTTCCCACCCACGGTCTCCCAGTCTCTTGCCCCATCCTCTCATGCAGGATCTTCTCCGCCAGCTCCAGGAACGGCTGGTACATCCTCTCAAGATCCTCCGCTAGTGCGTACAGCCGCTGCATCCCTTCCCTCGACTTCTGCATGCCAATGATCGTCTCGTCCTGCAGCCACCACATCTCCCATCAGCACGTTGGCGCCCAAAGCTCTCCCCTCTCCCTTCCCCTTCCACCCCTCTCCATTCTCACCGCGTACAAGTCTGACACGAAGTCGCTCTTCCATGCCTCGTAGTCTCGTCCAGCGTTCAAGTGCATCTGTATTCTCGTACTCGAACCCTCCCACGGCATCACAGCTGACTCGTACTCCCCCCGCTCCACCTGCCCCGCAGCAAGTGTTAGATCAGCGCCTCTCCAGCTGCCTGTGTTCTCCTCTCCCCTCCTGACTCACCGGTACAAGGAATGTCTTCATAGCCTTCACCCTGCCGTAGCTATCGAACTCCTGCTGCTGAATTACCCGTGTGAACGCACACCCTGCCCCCATCTCGTTGCTGAAATTTCGAAGTCTTAACAACAAAGTCATCGGCTGCCCCGGCCTGACTGCGAAGGACCAGGTGCCGAACATCACGTAGCAGAAGTAGGAAAACTCCGTGCTCATTAGTGACAGCTCTCTGTTCGCTAACCTCGCCAGCATCTCCTCCACATGTAGCCCGACTAGCTTGCATGTCTTGTCCGAGACAAACACATGGGCCCGCTGCCCCGTCGACGGATGCAGATGCTGCTTGATCAACCCAAAGGTCTGCTGGTCGTAGAATGCTCGGTCTACCTCCAAGTCTGGCTTCACTTCCGTCTCGCCTCCCCCCATCAGCAGGTGGTCCTCCACTCTCCGACTCTGCTTCTCGATCTTGTCTGCCATGATGATCTCTACCGCATGCAGCGCTCGTCGCGTTACCTGCTGCAGGTAGGGAGGAAGACAGACAAAGATTTTCATGAGCTCCTTCGCGCTGAAGCCGAACTCCCAGTGCCTCGCCAGCACGCGATCCGGCCACCCCATCGAGTTCATCTGCTCCCGCAGCGCTGACGGCTTGTCGAACGACACGCTTCGGATCCAGAAGTCTAGCGGTCTCTCCACCCGCAGCTCTCCCATCCGCCTCCTCTCATGCGCCAGTGCAAGGTCTGCTTGCTCCACCTCTCGCATCCCGTCGTCCGTGACTATCAGCTCCATGTCTTCGTACACGCACTGCTCCGCTTTCTCCAGACGCCTGCAGCGGAGCAGGGTCGGCCCTCGTCGCACTTGACCTTGGATCTCTTGCACACAACGCACGCGACCAAGCTCCTGGTCCTCGAGGGCTTCGTCTCTCTCAGTCTCACGCAACGCCCTGCCATGTTGTGCTTGACGCACCTGCACCCCCATGACAACAACCGTCACCATTGACTCACACGTCAATCAGCAGCTGGCAAGAAGATGCAAGAGCCCGAGACACGCTCGAGACTACAGCAGGCGAAGGCAGCGACACCACTCAGTGACTCGACAAGATACGCATCCGCAAGCGACCACATGCCACAAGACATGATACGCAGCCGCAAGCGACCACATGCCACAAGACATGATACGCAACTGTAAGCATTCTCCCCTCCCCTCCCTCAGCATCATCATATTCGACATCGTCACCGTTATCATCATTATCATCATCATCTGCACGAGCATGGCATAGACAGAAGCATACTCTCTCCCTCTCTCCTCACCTCGCGCATGGCTGGAAGCTGTCACACTTCTGTCTTGCATCAATGCATGGTTTGCAAGCAAACCTGATCCTCTTCATCCTTGCGCTCAATGTTTTCTGCGAGTGAGTCAGGGAACATCTTCTACTTTCATGATAATCTATGTCGTATACATCTTCACACTGATAACATCACCGAATGAGGGCCGCAACCCTTCAAAGACACACGAAATGAAACCATCTGTGAGACCTCTGCAATTCCAACACAACTCTCAGTGCATTGTCGTTATACTGTATATGCAATCGGCAGATAAACCTCCGGGCGACTCTAACTAGCTCGCTTCCCAACAGCTCAAAATACATCTCCACAATGGCACGACTCTCAGCGTACAAGGAGCTCCTCACTAGCCATCTTCTCCCTGCCGCCACCTCTGCATCCCCTCCCCTCGTCTGATCACTGGGCCTGCCATGGCGGCGATTAGGAAACGCAATAATGCGGATGTCTATAAATATACTTCATTCTCTTGTGCAGTACAAAAATATAAAGTTATACATTGTTTTCATAGAAAAGTTATTACTGTATTTGTAAAATGAACCAGACCTTGTTGGTTTTTAACAATTATTTTTGTACCACGATGGATTAAAACAATAATGAACGTGGAGCTCTTGGACAACTCCAATGCGCCCGGGTCTGTTACGCGCATGCAGGTAGGACAAGCGAAGCGAGCGAGGGGATGGGACCGAAGGGAGCGGGAGAGCGGGAGGAGGAAGAAAACGACCAGATGCTTCCCTTGTCTCAACAAGATTGTTATTTCCATCGACGAGATGTCATTTCTTCATCGAGCACAGTCACAATGGTGTTTGTGGCCTTTAGTAAGTAACAAGAACATCCTCACCCACCGCCTCTCATGCTCATATTTTACCATGACACATGTCCCGGCCACTTGTCTGGTTGATACGCCCATCGGCATCCTCTGTCGTTCAGGCAGTTCTTGCAGACCTGGCCGGTCGATTTGCACACCCCTATAATCTGAGGATGGTCTTGCTCTTGACGAACAGGAACAGGCTGAGTTGCACCTCCTAGAACTGCAGGACGACCATCCTGCTCTTGTTCAGGTCCGTCATCGTCGGTACTGTCTTCGTCGACTGTACTGTCTTCGTTGTCGGTACTGTCCTCGTCGTCGTCTCCGTCTGTGTCGTCGCCGTCGTCGCTGTCTTTGTGGTCATCGTCCTCATTTTCGTCTCTGTCATCGTTGTCGTCTCCTTTGTTGTCATCGCTGTCTTCGTCTTCATCTCCTTCTCCTTCTCTTTCGTAGTTGTTGTCTTTGTGGTTGTCGTCTCCGTATCCGTCTCCATCGTCGTTGCCGTCTCCGTTGTCGTCGCTGTATCCGTCTTCGTCGTTGTCGTTGTCGTTGTGGTTATCGTCTTCATCTCCGTCGTCGTCGCTGTCTCCGTCGTCGTCGCCGTCGTCATACAATCCCCCATGCAACTCTTGCTCAATGATCTCATTCACAACGTCGTACCAGTCCTGGTCCTCATCTTGCTCCTCATCCTCTTCTTCTGTTGAATCATGCCTAATGACGACTCTCCTTTTCAGCCTTGTCCTGAGCTGTGTCCTTCCAAATGCCCCTGCTGCTGCTGCTGCTGCTCCCCCCTGCCTCCCCTGCTCCCTCTGCCCTGTCATCCTCCCATCCCACTTCTCCCAGTTGTTCCGGTCGCGATCGAAGAAGCCGCAAGCCCTGCACGCGTTGCTGAACATTGCTCCTTTGAACCATTCCTGGTGGTGCATACCAAGGTCGGAGCATCCCTCCGGGAGCACCGGCCCCGTATGACACCTCGGACACTGCAGGGCATCCGGATGCTGCAGCCGGATCAGCTCCCTCGTCGCGGCCTCCTCCCCCTCCAGCTTCAGGTCCTTCATCCTCCCCATCACCTCCGCAAACACCTCGCTCCTCATGCTCCTCCTCCGGCACTCCATCAGCCTCTCGAACTTCTCCGCCGTCAGCGCCCCCGCCAGGTCCTTGTCCGTGTACACGCCCCCGCATCCTGGAGCTACGCAGGCGATCTTCCCCTTCCTCTCCCCGAACCTCGCCTGATGCCCCCCTCCGTCTCTGCCAGCTCCAGCACTCGCCCCACTTCCTGCGGGAGACACTCCGAGCAGATGAAGTGAGCCGACGACGAGCACACCACTCCCTCCTCCGCCTCCTCCAGACACACCAGACACTCCCCCGCCCTCACCCTCCCCTGTAGCCTCCTCCTCTCTCCCTCAAGCTTGAGCTTCTCCAGCTCCTCCCTCGCCTCCTCCATCTGCCGCAGCAGCGCCTCCTCCCTCGTTGGCTGGCAGTACTTCCTCTCAACCCCTCGCATCCTCGACGACACGGCTGCGAGCGTGTCTCCCGGGCCCTTGTTCCTCCTCCAGCAGCTCTCAAGCACCCCCATCATCCCTTCCTTGCATCCCTCCCCCCAGCATCCTGCACGGCTGTCCCACTCCAGCTCCCTCCCCTCCCCCAAACCTCCCAACTCTCCCCACTTCGCCCTCCCCCCGCCCTCCTCCTCCCCTCCTCGCACGACCCCCGTCAGTAGCTCTACCAGCAGCTCCCCCTCCCTCCCGCTCCCCGCGGCTCCTCCTGTGGACCTCCCGCCCCTCTTCAGTCGGAAGAGCCCGCAGTCCATCAGCCTGCCCTGGAAGCTGATCCCTACCAGCACGCTCCTGCTCCCCACGTCTCCGTGACAGTCGATGACGAGGCATCCCATCCTCGCGTCCTCGTCCTTGGCGTACCCCACGACCTGCGCGATGTTGGGGTGCGAAAGACCTGCCATCTTCTCCGCCTCCTCCGCCAGGTTCTCGATCAAGTCCTCGACCTCGGCCTTGGAGTCTCCCGGCACTCCGTCAGCTCTGAGCACCTGCACGCACACTGGTCGCAGCTTCTCTTCGCAGCCCAGGACGGCACGATACGTGCTGCTCCAGGGGTCTTGATGCAGATGCAGCTCGTCGGAGAGCATGTCCGTCGAGGTCATGACTTGTGAGAAGGGATGGCAGGGGAGAGAGCCTGGCGGCTTCTTCACCTTCTTGTTTTCATTATGTTCGTTTTCATACTGATGGTTTAGATGCGATACCTTGTTTACATCTTGTTCCTTTGCCAACATGTTGTTCGGGTGTTCCTCTGTTTGTTTCGATGAATGTATTTTGGACGATGCGTATGAGTTTTGTGCAAACGTTGTTAGTTTTGTTGTTGTTGTTTCTTCCTCAAGTGGTTCTGCAGCTGACGAATACTTAGGTGTCTGTGGTCTTGGCAAGTGCTCTGTCGATCTAGACAGCTCTTCTCGATCTTCTGTTGTTTGATATACGATGATGTGTGATAGTTACAGGATACTTCGCAGATCTTGCTCTTTGTTGTCCTCGTCGTCCGCTAGTCTCCCTCGTGAATCGCTATACACCACTACAGAATCGAGACACAGTACCCCACCCCTTCGATGGTTCATCCTTACTGACCCCACCTACTCGATCGGATCAATCGTGTTGAGCAGAACCCGTCCTTTTTACATGATATTACCCACCTTTTTGTCTTCAATTTCATTGCATTCTACATAGCACCCCTTCTACTTCGATCACCCCTCGTTCAATATCGTTCCAATGTCCCGCCACCTGTCCAAGTACCCCACTCTAAAGGCCTTTGAGTTGTAAAGTACCCCCACCTATTCCACCACAGTGGGCTACCCCGCAACTTGGCACTCCATATTTTTGTCTGACCGGTCATATGTGGTATGAAATTAAGGGTGTATGCACACAATTTGCACTACCCCACCTATATCAATTAAATCACAAGAGTACCTACCCGTTGCAGATAATGAAATTCCTCCCACCCCTGTAATCAGCACTCTTTACGCTAAGTTGGTGGCTACCAAAGTACCGGTACGATTGACTGTCAGATCACCCCATTTTCAGGCATCCAAACAGGAGAGTGCCTAGTCTACCCCTACCCCTGACTTCAGCATTGTTTTTTTTTTTGGGAGGACATCCAGAGTACCTACCCCCACCTACTAGGTATATACGCATTTGCATCCATAGAGCGAGTACCTACCCATCTCCCACCCACATTAAATTTCGAGCACCGGTGTACGTTGACCTTTACCGGTACTTGACTATCTTGAATCAGGAATCCACCCCCCTCCCCCTCCCCCTGTTTTTTTTCACCCCTACCCTTTTATAATATCCTTTTTAATTTTTTTTTTTTGGGAGGACATCCAGAGAAACAAGGCTAACTCTTCCATGCTTCCCACGCCGACAGCTGAAGTCTCCGCTCAACCTCCGCCTGTCTCCGACTTTCTGCCGAGCCCTCCCTCCCCTCCCATTCACCATCTTCGCGACTCCCCCCGGAAGCGCCTTCTCTCCTTCTCATCAGTGATGCAGCGCCTTCTTTCCCAAAAGATCATCACGTACATCAGCGTAGACAAGAATTGCATGCTCGGCTTCAGCAAGATCAGAGTGAAGCAGCCCGCATTTCATCATGCCATGATTCGCATGGTCAAGTCCGATGAAATCTGGTTCGATGCCAACAGGAAAAGAAAACAACCAGAGACAAAGAACAACCAGGGAAGAATCAGCAAGAAACCCCGCCGCGAGACTACCAAAGTCAAGAGCGAAACGGAGCGCAACGAAAAAGAGGACACCAATCACGCTCAGATCATCTACCGCTTCCTGAACAGCCTCGGCATACGCCCTGAGCTAAACACCCGCTACGTCTCGACCGACCAGGAGCAGAAGGCGGACGACTTCATGTGGTCCATGGAGTGGGTCTTCGACCCCGAGCGCTGGAAGGAGAGACGCTCTAGCAACGACTCGCCTCTACACAAGAAGTACAGGGGCATCCAGACAGACGATGGCGGGCAGGGCGCGGCAGAGGAAGAGCCGGCAGCGGACGGGGCTGCAGCAAAGGATGAAAACGCCAAGGAACAGGAGGCCGCCTTTAGCTGCATTGACAATGGTGTTGATGGTGCCCAAAGCATGTTGAATGCCAAGTGTCAGACAGACGAGCTGCGCAAGAAAGAAAGCATAGACAATGTAGTTCGAGATTGCGAAATCTTCAGAGAGATCAGCTACCAGGAGCCTCGTCCTGTCTCGCTCTCTCGTAGCAGCAGCTTCGACCGGCGGGACGGATCGAAGAGGGCCAGGTGCTCCTCTCTTGAGCCCAGGACTCCCAGCCCTCTCCCGGTCCACTCTCCATGGACAGCCGAAAGCATCTTCCGGGAGGCGTCTGTGTTCCCTACGGCATGGGACTAGAAGGAAGAGCATGACTCCGCCGTC